TGTTTGTCGTTCATCCGAGTCCGATGCTCATTGCTGAATTAGCCTGTAAGCACCCGGAACAAGATAAGATGAAGAACCTTGCACTGACGGATGACGAAAAGACCCGACGCATCGTGGAAAGTACACTTCAGCTTATTGGACTATGTATTATCTTGGTACGTGAAACCCCCAGGTTCAGATGACTTCCGACAACTTATCCAAACCTTGATAGGTGCGATCTTGGCCTCCTGGACCACTTTTGGCTGCCAAGACTACCAAAGCGAGTGGGCATGGCGAGTACCCTCTATCCTTCAAGCCGGCTTCCCACTGGTGCAGCTGTGCTTCTATGCGTGGGTCCCAGAGTCGCCCAGATGGCTGGTAGCACGAGAAAGAACTACAGAAGCAGCCGCAATTCTCGCAAAGTATCATTCAGGGATTTATGTCCCATCCGAAGGCCACACGCCCCTCGTCCGCCGTGAAGTGGCCGAAATTGTCCAGACAATCCAGCAAGAAAAGTCTGCAGAGACGACGGGCTGGATGGCGCTGGTGTCTACGCCTGGCAATCGCAAGAGGACGCTGATTGCAGTTTGTGTGGGAGCTTTTGCCCAGTAAGTGCCTTTCAGTAGAATTTTTCAAAATACTGTTTTGCTGATGTGTTATTCCGTAGGTGGAATGGCATTGGCGTAGTCTCGTACTATCTTACACTTGTGCTCAACACCGTCGGCATCACGGACACCTTCACACAAACCTTGATCAACGGTCTCCTTCAGATCTTCAATTTCGCTGCCGCTTTAAGCGCTGCCTTCCTCGTCGACCGGCTCGGCCGTCGGACTCTATTCCTTTGGTCAGGGGCAGGCATGCTGGTGAGCTACATTGTCTGGACAGCCTGCTCAGCTGTCAACACAGATACCGGGTCCAAATCCGCCGGAATTGTTGTTGTCGTCTGCCTCTTTACCTTCTACTTCCACTACGACATCGCTTACACCCCACTCCTGATGGGATATCCGACCGAAATCTTTCCGTACTCTCTACGTTCCAAAGGCATTGCAGTTGAGCTGTTCGCAATCTACGGTTCACTGATCATCGCGGCATTTGTCAATCCCATCGGTCTACAGAACATTGGGTGGCGTTATTACATTGTCTTCTGTTGCTTTTTAGTAGTATTCTTCGTTGTTACGTGGGTCTTGTTCCCAGAGACCAAGGGGCACAGCCTGGAAGAGATTGCGGTGATTTTCGACGGGCCCCAGGCAGTGGAAAACTTCGAGGATGCCTCTGAGTCGAAGGAAGAGAAAATACTTGCCAAAGGCGGACTCCACGATATTGTACACAAGGAGGAGGCATAGTCTACGTTCACCTTACATGCACATGTGGCCTATGGGGCGCGGATAGCTCTGAATAATGATCAAGCGAAAGACATCGCATTTGTAAATTTGATTTCAAAAGCGAACAGGTCAATACTCGTTGAGGCATAAAGAGACCTGTCAATTTGATTGCCATTCATGGAATAGATCTCAAGACCTTTAAGAATCACGCCAATAAGCTGTCATTAAATTTGCTCGTTCGCTCCGGCGTTAGGAAGTTAGTTTCCTCCATAATTTAGAGGTCTACTTCTCTCCATTAGATCGACTGAGTGTAGGCTAGGCGCATAGAACACGCGTTCCGCAAACCGTCCCGAATGACAGTTCTGTCAGCCATTCTCAACAGCCGACTAACACCGGACGGAGCTCGTCCGTGCAAGGATTGCATTGCCCCCTGATCGCGATCAGATGGTGCTGTGGATCACCGCAGCGCAAGCGTGCGGAGAAGAAAGGGCGGGGTTTCACTTGGAGCTCATTGCAGTTGGAGGCCAACCTCATCTCACCCCATGCACGCCAGACCAACACTTCCTCAATTCTTCGCCTGTTCCTACATGTTATGTCATGACGTCCTCAGATACGGACTATACTCGCCCTGAGTCTTCCCAACCGGCCCCTGTTCAATCGTCCCGAACAATTACGGCTCCCCGGCTTGGATCGCGATCTGAACCCAGAGACCACTTTCACGCTTTACTAAGCACTCCAGAAAGCCCGGAAGGAGAGCCTTTACCATCCTCTTACCTTATGGAAGATGTCGTCCTCAGGTATGACGGGTGACAATGAGCCGGCACCCCCTCAGCCGAGCAACCTTGACTCCCTCAGCATGGCCTTCCCGTCCGCTGATCAAGCATGCAAGGAGTGCCGGAGGCGGAAAGCCAAGTGCAACCGGGCCATTCCGACATGCAACTTGTGCGTAAAGTACCGCCGGCACTGCCTGTATGAGAAACACGCCCGCACCCCGTTGACAAGGAAGTATGTATAATCATCCGCCGCCCCTAGCGCACAAGCGTTACCTGCAAAGGGAGTTCCACGCTGACATAACGTACTTATGTAGACACCTCACGGAAGTAGAAGAGAGATTGGAGCGGGCCGAGGCGATCATAACACAGATGAGAGCGCTGATGCCGGCCCAGCTGAGATCGGGATCCGTGCTACCTAGTCCAAGAAACCTAGAAACACCGGCGCCGAGAAGTGATGAAGAGGCCTTTGACTTCTTAAAGCTAGACACACCGGCGCCGTTAGATGCGGCTGCAATACGGGCTCCTCTGACGGCCCTAACGGCCCAAGGCCCCGAAGCGCTTCCGCAAATCGAAGCTGTCCATCCTGAGCCGTCACAACCATTCCAGCCATCACCACTACCTCAAAGTCATGTCCCGTCTACAGTCCCACCGTCCTCCAACATGAGATCCGAACCCCCACGGGCTCCAAGAACTGCTCAACATAGACCTTACAATGACACATCGCACAGAGACCTCAACCTCCTCGAGGCTCATCCCACAGACGACTTCGAATGGGACGAGCAAGAGACCCTTACAAACTACTCGGCATCACCCGAGGCCATCTTAGAAGCCGACTTGAATGGTGAAGTGATCGCAGACCCCATCGCAGACGGCATGGCCTCGCTTGCCGTGAGCGAAAGGGAGTCAGGCTACCTCGGCGTCGCCTCCGGTGCAGCCCTCCTCCGTCTCCTGGAACCATCAAAACCAAGACGAAGAGCCCAATCCTCCTCCTCAAGACCAGGCATAGGCGTAGGGCCCCAGCAGCAGCAACACATCATCAACCACTTACAAAATCCACTCATCGCGCAGCAGCCAGATCCCAACAGACACATCACAGACGCAATGATAGACGCCTACTTCCGCCTCTACCACGTAAGCTACCCCATCATCCACGAAGCCACCTTCAGAGCGCAGTACGCCGGCGTCATCCTCCGCCCCAGCGGCGACTGCTGGCTCGTCCTGGCCTACACCGTCGCCGCCATCGGCGTCTACACCACGGCCGCGAACCTCGACAACCTCGACACCTCGCTCTTTGCGCAGGCCCGCTCGATCCTGTCCTTCAACTTCCTCGAGGTGGGTAACCTGACGCTCGTCCAGGCGCTCACCCTCATCTCCAACTACCAGCAGAAGCGGGACAAGCCGAACTCTGGGTACAACTACCTCGGCCTGGCCGTGCGCATGGCCATGGGGCTGGGTCTGCACAAGGAGTTCCAAGGGTGGAATATCTCGCCTTTAAATATGGAGATTCGACGGCGGGTGTGGTGGTCATTGTGTGTGTTCGATGTTGGAGCGACCATCACGTTTAGCAGGCCGTCCGTCTGGCCGTACGAAGGCGTCGAGGTCTCGTTGCCATTAAACGTCGACGACAAGGTCACTTCTCCTGCTGGTTTGGATTTCGCTAGCTTTCACTAACTTCCCTTGTAGTCATTAACCGCCATCTCAAAATCATACCCTCAAGAAACAGACGGCATAACCCCCTACACAGCCGTCCGAACCCAAGCAAGCTTCCACATCGCCACAACGCCAATTTACACAAGGGTAATCTCAAAGCCTCTCCCCTCCCCAGACGAGATGCTACGACTCGACGAAGATCTACTTGAGCCATGGCTAGCAAGCGTCCCGTCCTACTTCTCCTCCATCAGCCGCGTGCCGCCAAAGTACGCTCTCGCCCACGCCGTCATGAACTGGCGGTACAGAAACCTCCGCATCATAATGTACCGCCCTTTCGTCATCCGCCGAGCCCTACAAGCCCGCGAACGACGACCAGATGACTCGCCACATAATGTCCGCGCTTTCGAAAGGTGTCTGGCAGAGGCCAAGGCAACCATCACCAGCATCGGCGAGTTCTGGCAACGGAACGAGCACAACCGTCTCGGTGCCTGGTATGCCTTGTAAGTCACAACACCCAGATCGGTCTCCTTTTTGGGCCTCTTCAACTTACTCGCCATCTTCAACCTCTAGATACTTCCTGTTCCAAGCAGCCCTTATACCCTGCATTTGCCTCCGCAACGATCCAGCATCCCCCAACGCCCGAGACTGGCAGGAACAAATCACGACCACAACACGCTGTATAGCCGCCCTCGCCCCTGTGAACTCCAGTTCATCTCGATGCTATCAAGTCATCATTGACCTCTGCGGCAGGTTTCTGGATAGCAATGATATTGCGCTGCCCGTAGCACCATCCGTGGCGGCTCAGGTAGACACCATCACGTCTCCTAGCTACGAGGCCAATGCGACACAACCCTCGGCTCCTGAACCCATTGATGAAAGCCCTCAGACCCAGATCAACAGCGATTTCTCTATGATGTGGCCTAATGTGCCTCCCTTAGAAGCGGCGGACGTCGTCATGGGCGACGACGCGTGGATGGAGTTCCTCAAGGGAGGGACAAGTGGTGATGGTGATGGGACGTGGTTCGGGAGCTAACTAGTCTGGCTGCTTCTATCAGAAAGCGCATTGCAGCAGGAAGACTTGCAAGTAAATAATCTGATGTGAGGAGATTACATTAATAATGTTGCGCTCTGTCTTCTATATGACCTCCTTCAGGAACTTTCCTCCTGGTCACTCAAAGCTATGATCATCCCCAGTTCCTTGTCGACATCAAGCCAGCTCTCATGACATGCCGCGAATCTTCTCCCTAAATTCTTCCGCATCAGCAGATTGTGTCATTCAGATGACAGAGGACTTCTTTCCCTCGATATCGATGTTCTCGTCTGAGGTTGCATCCCTTGCAACAATTCTCATAGCCCACTGAACCTCATCCCAAGTTGTCTCTCTGATCGACAAGAGCGTTGCTGAGCGACCGATTGCAGCTTTTCTGTCTTCTGATACCTTGCAAAGACATCGACACAGCTTGTTCTTTTCGTTGGGTCCTAGGAATACCTTGCTCTGATCATCCACAGGCCCACCACTCTTCCAGCCCCTGAATACGCCGCTGAGAAATGGCTGCCGATCGGTAAAAAGATCTCGCAGCTGTACATGTTGTACTCTGGCAACGTTCTCCCGGTTGGAGTAGACGACCCGCGCGAAAAGCTCAAAGAAAACATCCTGCTTCTCCCGGCTACATTGAGCTTGCGTATTGAGGAGCTCTCCAATTCTGAAGCAAGTGCGCATCATAATCGTCGAAGAGAGTCCAACGACTACAGAGCGGTCTCGCATTTTGTCGGGGAAAGGAGGTCTGACTAAGGGTGCCGGGCTCGAATGCTCTTTCAATGATTCTTTGGTGTTTTCTCTGATGCTCATTCTAGCCTCCGAATCCGGAGAGGCGCCAGCCGCAGTTGCTGCGCATCTTGACACAAGATCCCAGTCGATATTATCATCCAGAAGATCAGGCTCAGTCAGATCGGTATGTGAAGCTTCGCTCGTGTTCATATCAGACTCGGAAAACTGCAATTTGGAGTCGAAGCTTGAGGCTGATCTCGAATCGCAGTCTATCTTCTGTATGATGCTTGACAGAGGGAAGAACGGAGGCTTGTCCTTAGTATCTTCCAGAAGCTGGGCCATCTCTTCTTCGTCAAAGTCTTCGAGACCATAGTCATCTTCGACAGCTTCTTCGCTCTTTGACGACGATTGGGCAAGGCGATCGACGCTGAGCTCTGGAAATGGCTTACTGGAATCTTCGTCTACCTTAGACAAGGTCTCAGATGCGGCATCGTGGTTTTCACCGGAAGTTTTCTCCACAGGCACGAACCCCTCGCCTCCTACGTTGTCTAGATCTACGTATTCCATCCAGAAGTCTGGCGCATCGGGATCTGCCACAGAAACATGCGTGGTTGTTTGCAATGACGAGGTTGGTGGTGTCTCGGGTATCTCGACGTCATCTGTTGGGCTTGGCGGGGTCTGCGGAGACTGTGGGATGTCCGCGGAAGAGTACTGCTGCCTTGCAGTCGTGTCGAAGTTCGCTGGAAATCTGTGCTCAAAGGGCATCTGAGGTAGGCTCTCATGGTCGAAGATGTTCGGTCCTACAGAGGCATTGACAGCCAACCGCTTCAACGGAGAAGAAATTGCAACAGATGAGCTCGGCGTCAGGGGTCGTTTTGGAACGTTGGTGGGCTCGAAAGCACTGGCGACATGTTGCATCGTGGAGGTCTAGTCTATGTTATGTGGCACTTCGAAGGTGTCAGTCTTTTGTTAGGTAAGAAGACATGAGGAAATGCTACCAACCTACTTCTTCCGCGATTTACAAAAGTCTTCAACCTGGAGCTACAATGACGTACAGAGAGCGAAAGTCTAAACAATCGACGTTCTGGCGGCTCGGTAGTAAATGGCAGTGCTATGAGGGAGAAGAGCACGATGGAAGGAGGGATGGAAAAGCTTCGATCAGGCAATGGAAGTTCATGGAAATATGTATTGCTTCTAGGACGGAAGGCGGGCTCCTTCCTTCACAAGAGGTACCTCAACCGGTACTTAGGTAAGGCCTTTGGTTCAGGCAGTGACTGCGATGCAGGGCAGGAGCGAGTGCCCTTGACCAGGTGAAGGAGTTGGTGACAGGAAGGAGCAAGACCATCTGCGCCTCCCTTTTATCATCCTCACTTCTTTCCTCGGAACTGATAGAAGGTAGCAAGAGGAAAGAACTGGAGCGTGGTCAAATCTTCATGCAGTTCCTAGGGCAATGTGTCCTTCCGGGAATAATCCAGAACCATGACATTTGCAACTGAAAACACCACCATACATAGCCAGGTAGTGCTCCTTGTCACTTCACGATGCCTTCGCCGTGCAACTTGATCAGATGAGGGATCCATTTGATCGCGTCTTGGGCTCGCCTATACGAAGGCACCCATCTTCTGAGAAGCTGTCACCATATACACCGGCTCTCAATCAGTAGCCTAGCCGCCCTTGTCGTTGTCATCAAAAGCCACAGAAGACCGGTAGTCTCGTCCTTCCACAATGACGGGTATCTTGCTCATCTGCTAAACAGCTCTCGCTTGGCATATGATCCCCGATGGCCGATGAATGCAACAGGATCCAGATCCAACTACCATATTTTGCCTGTTCGCCGATGTCTCTTGCACTGAACCGCTGACACCTGCTTTACCCCGAACAGTCTACTCAATAGAACGAGATTGTTCTTCGCAAACTCAGGAACATAAACCGTTGTCAACTTGAACATGTGCAGCTGGTCCAAACTCTCTGGTGAGTTTTCGACATGTGCAGCTACAGCCAGTGATGTCGATGCCGCCGCTGGCACGGCAACACTGAGACACAGACAAGACAACGACGTTGAAGGGTCTCCTCCTCCACCGGGCTAACGACACACCCCCAGAAACCTCTTTTGATAAAGACTGGCGATAGTATGATATGGACTACCATATCACGTATGCATCACAAGATATCTTGCCGAGGACAGACTGTGGCCCTTCACCGAGAGGAGAGCGCGCCGAGGCAAGTCACGAAGCTATTCGCAACCCGTGGCTCGGTCCGCGCAGCGGAGGCACGGGTCGGAAGTGACATCAACCCGCATCCCCGAGCAAGTCAGGAGCTCTACCCGTCCGAAAGCAACAAGACAGAGATCGTCGCTGCCATGCGGTCGATTATCTCGATTTTGTCAATCAGGTACGATGCCGCCGCCTTGGTTTCGATGAGAGTGCTCCCAAAGGGTCCCAAACAGACTACGTCAGAACGAGCATGTGCCCCATTTGGGAAGCAAACCCTCATGAAAGCCGCATGGGTCTCGCGCGCTGTCGGGTTGGCGGCCTGTCTCAGCGCCACGAACCTGTCTCTATTCAAGTCTGAGACCGAGCAGCCGCGGCGCCGGGGCATAAACAACAGTGAAGATGGGGGAAGAAAGATGCCTCGGCGGCTCGGACGATGGCAAGCAATGGGAGAGCGTTTGGCGGATGGCGGGTAGACCGTCGACGGTGATGTCAGTCCCTCAGTCAGGTGAGAGCGCAAAGGAGCGAAGGGTTCTGTGTGGTTGGCGCGTTTGAAAGTTAGCTCCCGCGGAAGTTGGGCCATGTGGTTCCGGGAAGCGCTGCGCTGGCGTTCAAGGTGTCAAGGGCTAATGAGTGCTAACAACCTACAAGTGGAGGGGTGTGTGGGTGGTGTTGAAGGATGCCCGTGTGCGAGAATTCAAAGTGTAGAAACGAAGGTCCGCCCAGGTATAGGATCGATTAGCCGTTGCTGAAAATAAAAATTAAAAATCATCCGGTGTTTTCAAATAATATCATTAAAATAATGATGGAATAATATTGTCGAAAGCTAAGATCCCGCAAGAGACATGCTTAAGCTGCGTTTGCTCCCCAAGGTTCAATGCTGCACATGTCTGCCAGCTTGTTAGTCACCTCAGGCACGGGGTGAGATGACACATGCTGGCGCTCTTTCATCTATGGCTTGCCATGTGAGTGAGGCGCTCACTGAATATCCAAATGATGCGATACCGCAACGTCCGGACTTCTCATTGCACGCGCAACCCGTATTTTTGACCACTGGCAAACTCTCAATTCCTCCCGGATCTGACGGGGCGGGGGATCAGCCACTCCCTCGTTACTTCGCATGGGGGGCTGGTGCAGTGCGACTCGAGGCGGTGCATCCTCCAAGGTCCCAAAATCGAGGTTGCGAGAGATGCAATGGAACCGTCACTCGTTGTAAGCCCAGGCAGAATTCAGCTGCAGCCATAGATTGAGGATGCCGAGGATTGTATTTGGGAGGTAAGGTACTCGTGGGGGGGGGGGGGCAAAGAAGCTACCTTTGGAATCGGACACAACCTAACTCGACTCGACTCGACTTGCCGTATTTGACCTTTGAATATTTTTGCCTTTGGGAACCTTTTTAATGTTGAGTCACGTCCAGCGAGTAAACGTTCAACAAAGGCTCCTTTGGGATCCTTGGAGGTGACCTTAAATACGGATTTCAACCAGTCAGTCAAGGCCTTGATGAACACATGGACTGTCTTGCATGAGGTGCCATCAACAAGTGTCAATCTGTCATCCTGGTAGCCATGAGCCTGGCGAGACTGGGCAACATGGGCAAGAAACGCCGGTTATTTTGTTTTTAATTCTCATTTTTTGTTGTCCTGTTTTCTTGGAGTTCATGTACATTTAGCGCTGGGTTTGGAGAGACTGTCTCGCTTGCGAACCAGACCCTGGATGCTTGCGTATCTATGAAAAGACAAATTACGAGTGAGACTACCATTGACGGGGCCTTGACCTATAACCAGAGCCTATCATTGCTGGCACAACCCAAAGACTGGAAATTTCACCGTGATTCATGAGAACTTGCAATCATAGGCATGGAAGAGATAACATGAAAGTGAGTGTGGCAGAAAGGGCTGCAAACCCGGCGCATCGTACATTTACCCAACATCTTGGGATCAGATATGGACGCATCAGATCTGGTTGATGCAAGCAGAGACATATGACCAGGGGCTGGGGGGGAGGAATAAAATTGGAGCGGAAAAAATAATTAAATCAATTTATGATTAAATCAAGATAAGCAGAAGAAAAGGTCAATAAAGATATTGATTATCTTCAGCTCAATTTCTGGCATATCACCAACTCGCACACCCACGCACATATGGACAAACACACCACCATCTTGAACTGAGCCCCACCGTTTTCCCCAGATGACAGCAACGGGACCAACTACAGGCACAGCTGCTAAAATGGTAGCGCCGACGGTCCGCCACCGTAGCCTCACCCAAAAGGAGTGCTAATCCGCCAGCGCGTCCGTCTTTCTTCCATCCCACCCTTTCCCTTCTTCACCTTTCACCTTTGTTTCCTTCACACCCCCATGCGCATCCCAGGCTTGGGCTCCCAACTCCCGTCCCCTCACCGCTCGGAAGGCTGACTTGGACTTGCATATACACCATGGTCACCAGGCCCTCTTGCTGATGCGCTGGCATCTCTCCCTTACTTCTCAGCGTTGCAGTCGCAGTCGCCAGGGCTCTGTTTACCATGTTTACCAGCAGCATCCTCAAGGAATCGTCATCCAAAGCGCCCCTAGAGATAAACTCACCACCACCATCCGACGGAAACAAGCCTTGACATCTGCTCGATTAATCGGCTGATGAGGCAGGCCGCGCTGTCTCCGGCCTCTACTATCGCCAAATTGGCCTCCCAAGCTTTCGCAGACGTCCTGGTCGTATCTCATCGACATCGAGATGAGGGAACAGCTGTCACATCCCACGCACGCAGCCTTCCCGAGGCGCCCCCGTACGTACCGTACCGCATCTAATTGAATACCTTGCTCTTTGGTACACAAAGTCCTCAACACGATTGATGATGGTGGCGGCCGGGCTGCATTTCCGGTCGGGCACTACACCACCACCCGCTGCAGCTCCCGGCGAATCCTCTCCCATGCCTTCCCGTCGCGCCGGTCTGCTGCCAGGACAAGGTGAGCACTGAGCACGGGGGTTCAACAGACACTAGATGCAGAGGACCAAATTCTCCCTTGACCGAATTGCTAGATATCGCAAAACGCCGTTGACAGCCTGTCAACCGCTGTCCGTACCGTCATCACGGGTGCCCCCGTTTAGAGAGCGGTCGCGTCTCGTCCACTCGCCCGTCTCCAACCTTGCAACGTTTCGCTACTCTTATTTCATGTCCCTTTGAAGCTCACCAAGCTTCTGCTCTTTACATGGAACCACCGCATTGCTGCATCCGTCGCACTTCCCCGGGCCAACGGGCATTCGATCTCTCTTTCTCTCGATACGAAATGCATGCCCGCCCAAACCGCAGTGTTTCACACCACAATTGCTGGTAGGCTGATGGCTTCTCTGCGACCGCTTTCTCTTTCGCCCCGGCTAGACCGATAGCCTACCGTTCTGGGACGTTCATCTACGGTACGAAACTCGCCTCCCAAGTTTTCGAGATCAACTTCGCCGTTGCGTTACACGTGACGGTGGCGTCTGCCGTACCTCCCAGCAATGCCGGCCAAACGTGCAACTAATCCCCCTCTTTCCTCCCCTCCTTTCGATGCAGTAACCGCGATCGTCTCAATTCTAGATGCGTCGTTTTGCCGCCCAAAGGCAGCAGTGATACGGAAGGCTGCTGATAGCCCCTCACGCCTGAACCCTCCACGTTTCCTGGTTACGACAGCAGCAGCGGCACTCCCATACCGGGGGGTCATTTGGTGCCCGCATATGCGGACAAGATGCGAGGCCAGGTGAGGCGGCAAATCGCCGCACCCGCTGCCGGATTGTCGGTGTGGCTTGGAGCCGGCCATAGCTTGTCACGTTCGCAGGAAGGGCCATTGTCACCGTTACAAAATGCCCCCAAATACCGCGAACCTCGAAGTTCGGCCCCCTGTGACATACCAAGAACCAGGGCTCGATATTCCTGCGTCTTGTTGGGCAGCGATTGAGCACCACTTGTGTTGGTTTCCCCGCGGCGGGGGCTGTCTTCGGTGACATTATTCTCTTTACCGCCCCCTCCATTCTCTTGACCAGTAGGTGTGTTTGTGCTCGGCATCACGTTGTTGAGACACGCCAGCTCACGCATATCCGATTGTCATGCGGGGTGTCATCCTTCCTGTGCAGCTGTCATTTTTCCTGCCAGCAAGCTCTACCACGGGGGTATGCTTTGTTCAGTCATACTTTGATCATTTTGATCACGAATACTGGCGATGATGCCCAGAATTGTCAAAATTGACACCTGAGTTGGAGCAAGTGAACCTGAATCTCCCACTTTGTCGAGACTTGGACAGGAGGGCTGTTACACGGCGGTGCGTAAGGTGGACCCCAGGCCTCCCGTTTGTATTCTTCATATATTTCTCTTTTTTAATATTCAATATTTAATACCTTATTCAAAATTGCTGTCGAGAATGTAACGGTTATTCAATGTATCGATGTGGTTTGAACGGTCAGCTTGTTCATCCTCGCCGTTTCCGACACCTTTCAGAAGGATCCAGTTGCGATGAGACCGTCACCGCCTCGCCGGCCGGCCTCGTTTCTAAGCATTCGCAAGACGCGGCAATTTGCGGGATAAGGTATCTACTAAGGTACTTGGCAGAGTGTGTATTGTTTTGAATAGACGGCTACTAGGAATCGCGTCACTGTTGAGTAAAAGGGTTTGGGCGAAAATCCTGCAGTTTGTTTGCTCGTCTTGCTGTAGCAGGTTTACCGTGTAAGTATCCCGATGCTAATCAGGCCCGTCTCTCCGACAGTTCAGTGGATACCCGGGGCCGGACGGGTCCACTTCAAGTCCGGTCGACGGGAGATTCGGATGTCAAAGTATCTTTCATCGGCGAACCCGAAATCTGCCCGCGTTAATTAATGACCCCTGAATCATTCTAGCTGGTTTCAACATGTCTTCTAAGTGGGCTGAGATTGTCTGTCTATTAGAAGAACATAATTCAAGGCAAAAAGAAGTCCGATGAAGGAGCCACCCGGGCGAGGATGTCTCCTAGCGAGCGCGACATTTTCTAGAGATATATCACAGAAAGAGTATCATGGGCATTTCTTTCCTCGCTGTATTCCGGAAGTCTCCGCAATTCGGCTCATCAATCAGGGTATATTCACCATTGAATGCGAGCATATCCTACACCCGACTTGAGGCATCAGCATTGCCAGACATGGCGGGTACACTTAGTAGTCAGAGCCACTTGACGAACAAGGTGCAAACAATTGATTTTCTGCGGCATGGCAAACTTCTCTAGCGCCCCTGGAGCTTTAATTTGAATCGTGCATATTCTTTCATGACTGGTTTTCCACTATCGAAGATGAGTCGACCGGCGTCGATGCATCTCGTCTGCAGGTGATTGGTGACAGGCAGCAGAAACAAGACCGTGCACTAACACGTTTGCCGGCTCCTCCAGGGGATATTTGTTAGCGTGGACAAGTTGGTGCCCCATTATGAGTCACGTCGACTAATCGCAGCATAACGCAACGCCGCTGAAAGTCTCAGCACCCTGTCGTACCTGCAGACTGGGAAGCGACTCGGAGATTCCACTACATCCGGTCCGGGGCCAAACCCACCTGGGCTCATCGTCAATCATCGCCACCCGACTGACTACACGCGGAATTGTCAAATACAGCCTCTTCGCTCCGACATCGTCCCGAACGGCTTCTCTTCGACAGCAACCTTTAATACTCGCCTTTGCCAGCTAAGGTAGCTCATCAAGAGACGGACAAGCACTGCTCAACCCGCAGTTCACCCATTTCTCCCTGTTCTTTCTGCATTTCATCTCGTTCAGCTCATCCACAATTTCCAACGTTGAGCATTTCCAATTCCTTACACCACGCCCAACCATGATTTCCCTCACAAAACAAGGCGGCAACACCCACCAGCAGGCCGTTCCCAGGCCTCGCACCGACCGCGTGGTCCCTAAACCCGTTCCGGAGGCTCAGTCGAAGGATCCCCGCGGCTACCAGCTCGAGCAGCTGCGCAAGCGCTACTCGCCCCGCGAATCCACCGCCGCAGACGGCACCACCACATCTCTGGTCTTCCGCATCAAGCCTTCGGATCCGGACTTTCCCTTTGAGTTGGAGCACTTGCAGTGCGACCTCCGCGTGCCGGAGGATTACCCCGATGCTGTCCCTGTCCTGCACGTGCGGAATAGCGATATCCCGCGCGGCTTCTGCATCAACATTGAGCGGGGGTGGGAGAGGCTCGTCGAGGAACGTCGAGGCGCTACACTTCTCGCCCTCACCTACGCCCTGGACAAGAACCTGGAAAAGTTCCTGTCCGAGCAGGAGGTAGCTACCGTGAAGTTGGTCACCTACAAGGACGAGGGCGTGAAGGATACCCGCCACCTCGAGGCCGCCGCCATCGCGGCCATCCCGGGCCCGGCGACGCAGATCACACAGGCACCATCCCCTGCACCGGCGCCGCCTGTGAGGCACTACACTCCTGAAGAGTACTTCACCAAGGAGGAAATGGCGGCTGCCAAAGCCCGCCGCGCACAGGAGACGCGGCAGTTGGAGACACGCATGGGACGGCTGTCTTTATATCGCCGCTCACCGGACGGCATCGTCTACACGCTCCCTTTGGAGCCTCGCCGTCGCGCTGAGCTCTCTCCCGGATTGCAAGGCGTCAAGACGGTCCATCTTATTGTGCCGCTGCTATACCCGCTGCAACCGCTGCGTATTCAGCTCAACGAGTGTGACTCGCAAGATGCCGAGCCCTTGGAGGAGCTCTACGTACAGAAGGCAGCGGAGCAGAAGCAGATGACTCTCACGAGCCATCTGAACTATTTGGCTCAGAATATGCACGTCTTAGCAAAGCAGGCAGCGGCGCCGCCCAATCCTGCTGCTGTTGCTCAGCCCGTGTTGACGCAGGAACCTGAAAAGGATTCCAAGGCAAAGGCATCGGCTATGGATGATGATGACCGCGGCCACATCAAAGTCATCCCGCGCCCGCCGGAATGGAGCCGTCCCGGCGCCGCTGAAGACAACACAGATTCATCAGACAGCTACGACTCAGATGACGACTCGGACGAAGGCGGCGCCGACCTCGACGCAGAACCACCCGGCCTCTCCTCCGGCCTCACCCCGGAAAGGGGCACATCCATCTCCTTCCCGACCATTGAGCTCCACAGTATCGAGCTCTTCCAGGTCTCCATCCTCAACCTGAGCGTGAAATGCTCGCGCTGCAAGACCATCAACGAGATCACCGGCCTCAAGCACGAGGTTCCCCAGACCTCAGCCTGCCGCAAGTGCGCCGCCGGTCTAGCAGCGCAGTTCCGCCAGACGCTCGTCCACGCAAACTCGACCCGCGCCGGCTTCGTCGACCTCACGGGCTGCACCGTCTCCGACATGCTCCCCAGCACCTTCATCCCCGTCTGCGCCAAATGCTCCACCGCAAGCCAAGGGCTCGTCGCCGTCCGCGGCGACGCCGTCACAAACGTCTGCCGCACCTGTCACGGCAAATTCACATTCAAGATCCCCACCGTCAAGTTCTTGGCGCTCTCCGCGGGAGGGCTCGCGGCCCCGACGACGGGACCCGTGAAGAAGGCCGAGAAACTCGGTCTCCACGCGGGCACCCCGCTCCCGGACCGCGGCGCCTGCGCGCACTACCGCAAGAGCTACCGCTGGTTCCGGTTCTCATGCTGCGCCAAGGTGCACCCGTGCGATCGGTGCCACGACGAGGCGGAAAACCACGTCAACGAGTGGGCGAACCGGATGGTGTGCGGTTGGTGCAGTCGCGAGCAGCGGTATTCACCCGAGGCGTGCGGGTTCTGCGGCCGGAGCGTCATTGGGCGGAAGGGTAAGGGGTTCTGGGAGGGCGGTAAGGGTACGCGAGACCGTAAGTTGATGAGTCGTAAGGACCCGAGGAAGTTCAAGAGGGTTGGTGGTGGTGCGGCTGCTGCTGCGAAGAAGGATTAAGGTGGATAGACGATGGGTAGTGGTGGTGGGATTCTTCAGCTTCCTGAAAGGAATACGCACTTTCCATCACTGAATAAACATCGTGGTACCAGAACACGCAGGCCTTATGAGATGTCCGGTGCCCTCTTTCCTAACAACAAGTATCGGGCCTGGTGACCGAGGGGTGAAAGCCGTGAAGTGCTGACTAGTACGTGATGCTCCGTACTCTTCAGGACTCCTGCGTTCGAACCTCGGTCGGCTCCTGTTGTTTTTTTTTGCCTTTTCCACCCCCAGATATCAATATCGGACTATTCATCGGCCTCTTGTGCAAATCACGAATTTTCAACTGTACTTCTTTTGTCGTTCAAAAGAGCAGGTACATACAAGCAGGGTCTCAATCCACTTTCCTACACTTGGAACCGCCCTTCCATGTTTGAGATGTCTAGATACTTTCCCCCATGTTGATCATAAAGTCGCCTCGCCAATACGAAGAAAGAAATCAGACTAAGAAACACCAAATCCTCAAACGCCAATAGTACCCCCATCAAACATCAAAGGCAGCTCCCGCACACCCTCATGACCACCAAAAGCGTAACGGTGATGAACATCTCAACTGCCGCCAGCCCTCCGGAAACCCCACGCAAGCGCCGATCCGACGACTACACCCCATGGGCGGCACACGGGCGGATAACATTCGCTATGCACAAATCCAATTGTGCAATAGAGGTCGCTTATGTGTGAGTTGTGTGTGGCTGGGCAAAAGATGTGATGGGAACCATTCTTGATTTATCTCCGTTGCGATTGGACGTTATTCTTGTCGTAATCCGTCACATGAGTGTTGATGTACGAGTTATGATTGGGGTAAAATGGGCACAGCGAATGGGACAGAGGGCTGAGAGTTGTGAATGGTGGCGCGGTTGGTTGGGAGGTAAGCGCTTCTTACCACCATCACATCTTTGTTTGAGGGGGCTGAGGTGACTTGTGACGGATTTGCTGGGGGAATGTATTGGAAATGGAACATCACTGTTTTTTTCAAAGTATATCAGGGGTAGGAAAATAAGAGAATGGAAAACAAAATAAGAATTTCCTAAAGGATTGTTGATAAAATATTGGAATTAAAATATTGCAATATTCTAATTGTCGTACCCCAGCTCACTCAAGGTATCTCCCCGATTCTATACACCCTCTTGAAGAACATCCCAACGCCACCATCGTCTCCGCACCCACCCATCCGCACCAGCCAAATTAGTTCTCTTCTACCCCCCTACCTTGCATCAAAACCCCATCCTGCATCCTGTTGAAAACCCCCATGTCTTACGTCGAGAACAAAACGTAGAAAGACATTTTGAGAGAGGAGGAGAAAAAGCCACGTTCCTAAAAGTCGCTAAGCGAAAAGTGAAGCCGAAAGCACAATTCCCATGCCCCTCCATCCATGGTGCTGAAGAAAGCCCACGAATCAGAATCGTGCATTTGCCCCGGGGTAAAGTTCACCGGCTCGCCGGGGGCCACCGGGAGGACGTCCCCGGAGAACCCAACCCGCTGGATCGACGGACTACAGCTCGCACTAACACCGCTTCCGGAGCTCGGGCCCGTGCTTCTCTGTTTGGGCATATCTTCCTCTGTTCCTCTGCATCCTTTTCTCGCACGAGACCGGCCCCGGGGAGAGGGGGAGAAGGAAAGATCAGATCAGATGTGATACCCTGAATCCTTCTGCAATGTCCCCGCCCCCCTGTGATGACCCCTTGTGCTCCTTGCAGGAATAGACTAGGAAGGCAAATGTGGAAGGACGCGCCATGCAAGTTCGGTAGGGAGAGAGAGAACTTGCGCGACGTGAAAGGCTCGGCTGGGTGTGAGATTTTGCGGGGAAGTATTGTGGGATGACATTACAGTAGACCGCTCACCGGTGAGCAAGGTGCGGATATAACAAGTGACTCCATCTCGGTCAACAAGCCTCAAAGTGATCTTCACGGTTGGCGATGGTCAATGGTGACACTACCAAACCGATGAGCCTTGAAAACGTCCCCTTTGTGTCGCATGTCTCTCCCTGAAGCAATGGGGCTCCAACGTTCGTCATCAGCATCCTTAGTGAGACGTTCTAGTTCGTGAGTTCGCATTTTGACTTTCGGCGCCGTCTGCACCGGAAGCTCGCGCCTGAGGGCAATAGATATTTGATAGCTCGCCTCTTAGCTTCCAACAGCTCCGGGGAGCTTTGCCCATGTTCTCCTAGCTAGTAGTTTTCATCCTATGGCCAACTTGCTTCACGCTAGCAGGAACTCTTTAGCACCATGCGGTGAAGATCAAGATGAATAGAAAGATTTGGACTCGAGTCTAGATTGAACGACTAGTCCGCCTTACCACCGGGGAGTTCTTCTCCTAGCGTCGAAATAGCACCGGTCACAGGAGCTACAATAGCGCGAACGCCTGATGGCGAATGGGATCCAATATCGTCACCACATACTTTACAAGCCACGCGAGACATTCTTCTACTTCATCTGGGCGAAGGGAAGAAATCAGCACCGGTGTGACGCTCTGACGTTCTCCCGGCGCATCACCAGGTCCTCCGGGCTAGCTGCCCCGGGATTCCGGCGCGTGTAAGATTGGTGCGCACTCCGGCTTACGTCGGCAGCCTCTCCGAGAACCACCCTCCAACTCCCTTTCTTCTCTCGTGGGATGGCGCGAACTGTCCAACTAGGTAGTCGTGTGTGTCTTGGTTGGACGGCGCGGACGGCGGATGTTCTGGCCGCTATGCCGTGCGGCTCAGTCACGTTGACCGGAAACGCCTCCCCGGATTCTTGGCAACGGTCTCATCGTTGAGTATCTCATTGGCAATCATGGCGAAGAAACTCAATGACCTTGAGGCCGTCTCAAATTTCAACATTTTGGCTTTTCACTACCTACCGCTAGCTTGTCTGACCTGCTCTTAGCTGTATCGGGTGGCATCAATAAGTCATTGCCGTGCTTGTGTTACCGTAAGCAACGAATTTGTCCTGGTGCGCTTGGCTGCTTGCCCTGGGTTTTCTTCCCCGTACCCCAGATTCACCAAGTCACCTCAGAGGCTCAGGACCATACGCCCCTTCATACGCGCGACTCAAGCCGATCGTGTCGCGATATGAAGCATACACACTCCAGACCTGCAACTCGCCGCTTGAGTCTTCTTCCGGCAATCAATATCATGAGTCGAATGCCTAAAACCTGCTTCATCAATATTCCAAGGTTATAAAGGCCCAATAATGCCGTCATCGAGTTGACTTGTCCGCGTCAAGTGATTGCATGTGAAATGCCTTTCCTGACTCCCCAGACAAACAGTCAACGTCGCAAGTTGTGCAGTATGAGAAGCAGAGAAGGAAGCTGTTAATTTTCGACATGTGAAGTTGCCCCAAGCTTCCTGTGTCATGAATCAGCAACCAGAGCCCGCAGGGTCCTATGCAACCTCTATAGTATGAGAAAGACGTACCCGTATGAGAGCCAAAATAAGGTCAAGTCCGTCCCGAATACAGAGCATTCGTTCGGGGACCCCCATGACCTCGCTCAACATCCCTCTTCCCTCTCTGAATCTTCCTTCAGATCACGATTCCCAACCTCCTCCAAGCCGGGCCTCTCATCCGAATCTATTAATGCGAGATTTCTACGAGCCATACACCGACGAACTCTCGGTTGGGATAACTTGGGATTCAAAGTAAGTTGTAGGTGACTCGCTGAATCCCCCCAACTCTATGCGCTGCCAGCAACCCGTATTTTCCCGGGTCTTACGTATATCCTGTGATGCTCTCAACTTGGGACGACGGGAAACATGACTCCACCGCAGAGCCCCCCCTCCTCCACCTCCGCCCTCCACCCTTTTTGTATCGCGCGACTTTCGTCATGCGCATGCAGGTACGCGTTCGACGAGGAGGAGGTGCTTCATGCGGCGAGGGCCCCGGGGTCTGGACCGGTGGCTCCAGCTTCCCTCTGTTTTCTAGTCTGGTGTGATTTTCACACGTGATGATTCGTGATGGCTGAGGCTCTGCCTTTCAGTCTACGCAGGACGTACGTCCTGCGTGTGGTCTGCTTCTCTCACTGCTGTCATTGGATCGCAACAACTGAATATTGATGCTTTTCTTACTAGCTTACAACGCTCTTCGTAATACTGGCTTGCACAAGCTAATTCTACCCTCTCGTCCCGGAAATTAACACAAAAAGCCGGCAGTCTTCATTCAGCCTAGAAAGATCCAAAGCGACGCAGTGAATGAATGACCCGATGAATATCCTCGGGACGGCGGCTATGACCCGACACCTTCTGGTAAAATTACCCCACAAAAGACTTGCAAGAGCCGCTGAAGATGGGCATGACAGCTCGCTTCTACCACAGCAACGGATACGGGGAAGAGGGGGGCCATGCTTGACCAAAGTTTGGCAAAGCATTCAAGGATCACAATTGCCTGCCGGTCCTGGGGGTTGCACCCATATCATGTGGCTACTTTTACGAATTATTCGTACATTGTGTTTATTTTTGAGGCTGACAAGTGTGCCATTTCAAGAACCCAAAACCGTTATCACTCTTCTCTCCGCAAAGAATAACGGCGCACCCCTCTCCCCCTACCATTTTCGACGCCCGACGAACAGCATCCCCCTGTCTTCTACTCGGGCTCGATAAAAACAATCCCAGTTTCTTGGGAGGAAAGGAGTCAGTCAAACAAGGACTGCCCGACAACACTCGTCTTCAGAGTCCAGACTAAACCCCTTCTCGCTGTGAAATCGGCCGAATTCTTTCTTTGCCTCCTCCACACCTTATGAACTCGTGACCGGGACGGTCAACCCCAAGCGCATCCCCATATTGTAGTCGTAAATGCACTAGGATTGGGGCGAACGATGGGCCTGGACAAGTCGTGCCATGTGCCCTTTCCCTAGCCCGCAAAGGAGCCGCAGTGCTACCGATCCTTTCTCCGACTTGTAGTATTAGGCAAAGCTGCTAGGAACCATATGATACTGAAGGTAGGCAGCGCGGTCTTGATGGCTTTGTGTACATGAGAGTGGCGTGAACTTGATGATGTAGTCTCAATGCTACTCCCGAATCCCGAAAGTAGACTCAGCTATCCGCACTTCACACCTCACATTCCGAACGGGAAGCGGCACCCGCTCGATTCGAAGAGTTTTCCTCTTTCAACAGTGGTGCTGCTGCCATTGGTGACAAATTCCAGAGCCGCGTATGGTCAGTCAAACCCCCCCCGTACGCATCGGAGAGGCTCCGAAAGGAACATGAACCCACGCAAGGTACGGAGGTCTCGGAAGGTGCCTAATTTTGCCGTCGTAACGCCGTAGTTTCCATGCAAGGTACGGATCCGACATGTTCGTGCTATTTCGACCTGTCATTCAACTCCAAAAACTCCACTATCAAAATTTGAATGTGAGCCAAAAACTCTGCGAATTCCCCCCACCGTTCATCGAATCGAAAACATCGTGAACATCACAGTTAAGAAAAAAAAATGAAATAATGCCCCCATGTCCAGAATCTCGGTGAGGCCTTACGCAATAGCCACGGTTTGAAAGAAAGAGCCCAAGCCCCCGTGTCCATACTCCATAAAAGCCCCTCCGATCGTCCCAAAGTCTGGCACCCCCTTCCCTGGGCGACCACAGCGGGCCGCGCAAGTCTTCTGGCCCCCGAAGTTTCTTGGAGTGTAAGACGCGAAGAGCCTGGAGGGGAGAGAGTCATGTTCACATCTTTCGGAATCAGTGCGTCGTCGGTGCACGCTCCCTCGATATGCCTTCCAGGCTTCCAGACCAGCTCTACTCTAAAGCCATGGCAAGAGAACTATCTGGATCGCCTCACAGCCTGCCACGCTGTGGCGATGGACGGCGGCAGGCAGGTACGTTCTTCGAGGGTCGCTCCGGCCGACTCATAAGCCGCAACCCCGTATTATTTGGCATGGCTTCTTCCCATCTGAGCGCAACCACCTAAAGCAGCATCTGCAACCTACAAAGACGATACGTTTACGTACATGTAGTTAAATAGAGGTTACAAAAGAAGGGCCGGCCGGTACTGACTTCCCCAATGGGAGACCAAAGTTCCGTCATTCACTGGTTCACGAGGGGGGCGGCTCTCCAAGTTCAAGTCTTCGCCGACGGCAATCTGCGAGTCATGGAGCTGGCTCGCAATCAGGAACTGGGATGAGCCTGGCTCCGGGACGCGGTTCCGTACCCGGTGTGGTCGCTACCACGATGCTGGGGCCGTCAAACAAGGAGGAGGGTGGTTCGGCCTTGTCTCTGGTCTCTGTCTCTACCGCGGAGATTCTCCGCTTCAGTAGAGAGCGCTCAGAAGGGGAGAAAATAAAAAACGTGGCAGGGAGATTGGCTCTCTCTGGGGGGGATGGGAAGAGGTTTCTGTGACAGGCCGACCCCTTGTTGAAATGAGAGAGGACGTGCGCGGTGTTCTGGAAGCCGTTGTTGGAATATTTTCGAATTTTGGAGTATTGCCTCCAATGTATTTTTATTTATTCGATTATTTTATTATTTTGATCTCCGTTTGCTCGCACGTCCTTGAGGACGGACCGTCTTTTGACTCGCAGCTCTTCCGTCCGTTATCCGTTTTGGCTTGTCGCTCAGTTTCGCATAACTTAATTCGCAGTCACTGACAGCATCGGGGGTTTGTAGCTTCGATGTGATGACGATGAAGATGTCTGGGGTTTCTGCAGCAAATGGAGATTCCACCAACAAGAGCGCGCGTATGGAGAACACTGCTGTGTCACTTTGCGGCGCACTTGGCTGAGTATGTGGACCGAACTACCGGAATTCTGCCAGGGGAACGAACGGAAACCACAACTTTGCAGAATGACGTTGCTGAAAGTGATGCCAAGATAACGGAGGGCAACATGGAAACGGACGAATACAAATAGTCGAAGGGAAATAAGAAAATAAAAAAGCAAGGGTCAAGCAAAGACGAATAGGTACATCCAAACGCAAGGTCACAATCCGTACAGATATGCGGAAAATGGTGAAAAGGGACGGGACCTGGAAGTCGACCCGCCGTTCCCCGGGGCCCCGAGATCAGAGATCAGACCGACAACCAAACAGACGTGGCAACGGTGCAGCGCTGGACGCCTGGAATACACCCTTATGACTCTTGTAAGAGGACTATGTGGTTGAAGGGCAGACACCCACCAGTTCGGATTGTCATCCGGAGGCCCAGCGACGTTCTGCTTTGACAGAGAAGGGTTCCGCGTTCATCAAAGCGTTGATGCTGCGTCCACGCCACTCTTCTCTCCTACTCAGGCGTCCAACACACCAGACGTCGCTGCCATCCATGATTCCATCCATCCATACCCTAGGGCGCCGTTTTCTCTGTGGTCGAGCGCCGCATCGACCTGCCCCAGCCGGCCGGGCGAAGACTGACGCCTGGAGCAGCGTAGCAGCGTGTTCCTCTCTTTGTCTTCTCCATCTTCCCTTCCCCCAGACACACCCATCCCTGGCTCTTCTGCTCTTCCCCATGGAGAGAGGGAGAAGACTGGACAGTGGACGGGCCAAAGGTCGTTTTCGGCGAAAGGGAACCGGTCAAGTGACGAGGCCTGTAAACTCTGTACGGCGAGGCTGGCCGCCCCCTAGATGGCTAACATGGGATGAAAGAGGGGAGGTTTCATGTCTTTCAATGTCGGATATTGCTATCGGTCGGGGGGGAGCAGCACCTTGGGGGTAGTAAGACACGGCGAGGAGTCGACTGCGATTACGAAGTGACATTGAGACTCTGATGAACTACCTAGCGAGAGACAGTGATCTCCAAGACTCTGCTTCATCAACGAGCGCGACGCAGCATTGGCAAATGGCCTGCTGTTTTGTGGCGTGAGATGTTCGTCAGGAATGTCACCCTATCGATGCCCCGAAAGCACGCTCTGGCACGGTTGGAAAGACATGCTGTAGGGAGTACGGATAAGCCTGTAACGGTGTAACCTACCTACGGACAACGTTCACAACGGATCAACGTTTAGCAGGATTGTCAAAGGCCTGATGCGCACATGTCGCGTGGCTCACTTCAGGGTTGTAGGTTCCGCGGCTACTCACTCCTCACCCCCTCACTCTCCCCCAGACTGGACTTCTGAAGCCATGCCTTTGGCACTCTGTCCCATCTCCCCTGCCCCTTGCCCTTGACTGCCTGCCTGGCGTTGACCGTCACGAGGGCACCAAGGATCGGCGGCCTGGGCGCTGGCAGCTGGCACCGCGCATTAGAGCTTGTCCGCGTCAGGTGCCGAGGTGCATTTCGCTCCCAGGTGGTGGCTTCGGCATTGCTGGCTGGGAGCTGTGACTTTCTCACGAGGGGAAACTAAGCATTCTTTGACGAGCACTTTACCGCTTTCATCTGGAATATCGTAATTGGCATCAATGTGGGTTGTCTTCATTGCAAACAATATCCCAGCCGGGGAACTCAATGTAGCTCTCCGGTTACCTTGGGCCATATGCTATAGCAGACAGCATCGACGATAGGTGGTTCGGCGGTGACGTAGCTTTCCAAGCCGGGCCCAAGCTCTCGGCGATGGCCAGGCCTGGGTCTCGAGCTCAGTCACCTGCTCACCGGGCCCCAGCCTGTCCTGCCTCGCTTATGGAGCTGCCGGCGTCGCCGGCATTGCGGGAGCGACCACATGAGCCGCCTACGAAATTGGTTCGGCCGCGACCTTTGAGCTTTGGGTGGCCTCTCGGTGATTTGTACGCATATTGCCGTAGGATCAAATGATCGAGGTCTGAGTAACCCACGAAGCTCCATCTGGAATGTCAGACTTGCTACTTTCATTGACGGGGAACGGCATTGATGGGAACACCAAGAAGAGCGTGTAGGCTACAGCTCCACCATGACAGGGGCAATACCAAGGCTGGAAGCAAGGCTCATCTGTCCAGCATCTCGACTCAACAATTGATTTAAAAAGAAGAAGAAAAAGATAGACGAGAAACATATGTTCGACTTGGGGACCACATAATTAGTTCAGTGTCTGAATGCCAGTCAAGCCGCAAGCGCAATTCCCATGTACCGAATCAAGTCTGTAAGGCCCCAAGTCTTTGCAATGAGCAAAGGTTGCGAAGATTCCCGCTCGATATCCCATTGTCCGCCAGCCTCGAGACAAGGAAAGAATATAGTTCATATCATACGCGTGCTTAAATTTCGATTTCCACTTATATACGGCACCACTATATTCCTCTGTATCATGCCTTTGAACCCGGAGGAAGTTGCGGACGTCATGCCGGGTGGAGACCGGCCATCCGGACCTGTCCCGGGTCTTTGCCCCACAGCCGGGAGAGAGACGGCACCTGCCATTCGGGGATGCCTGGCTTTCCATCTTGCAGTACATTTCGGCCATTTTCAATCCACGCATCATTATCTAAGGCATTAAGCGTCAATTATCATTGCTAAATCTATAAGCTTTTGATCAGTGGTAACGTAACTCACACCATATGAGCTCGGGGTCTACAACATGTGCTGGAAAGTCGATATCATGTCTGCAATCGTTTGCACCCAAAGGTTGTCTTTTTTTAGTCGTCAGCATCTCGACGACAAACATCCATCCGAAATCCCTCCTTCTTAGCAACACCATCCTAGCAATGACCATGCCTCTGAAATACAGCGACATCAGTGGCAAGCAAAGAGCGCTCGCGTGATCACTGCCAGAACTCAGTTCAGCATCCATACCAAATCCACGCGAGCCAACCAGGAACAGAGGCGCCATTTGGATCTTTGAAACTCCAAACGCAGATAGCAGAGGACTGTGTTTCTTCGAGCGATCTCTATGCCGCATCAAGTTAGCAACGGCAGACCATGACTGGCCTTACAGCACGTCTAGCACTTCTTGACGGTGCCGACGAGACCTCATTGCCGCTCCTTACTGCCGCGCCTCACTGCCGAAGAAGATGGTTTCATTTGTCTCGGATGCCGGGGCGTCTAAGAAAGCCTGGGGTAATAAGCAACATCAGGCTGAGGGTTCAGCCCGAACGCTGAAATTCCCGAAATGGGTGGTGGTCTTCTCGGTGTGATGGGACAGGGTTCCTGTTTAGTTCCTCTCTCTCATCCTAGAAGCCAAGTCGTCCGAGAGAGTGGAATAGCGGCAGAATACAAGATGGACTGATGAGAATTCGATCCGCGCATTGTCGAAAACGGAGCTTAGAAGCGGAATTGACGGGTTAGAGAAGCTCGGAAAACTAAACGTTGGCTCCCCGGAATATCGACGAGTAATGTGGCGTGGGTTGGAGACGTGTCTAACGTCAAGCCCGCGAAGGAAATCCGCGTTTCCTTGTCTTGTCGTCACTAACCGTGTGCACACGGGACCTGCATCTATATTGCCAAGTAAGGACGGATAAGTTGTAATAGTCGGTAGATCCTAACGGTCTAGATCTTCTGACTCGAACGGTTTGTTCACGTCGCCAGTGTACCCCGGCATTCCGCTGCAGGGTCATCAGAATAATTCAACGTCCGGGGAACGCTGTCCCGGGGCAACGGAGTGCAAATGACCGGATGACGATGGCGGCGTTGGGGTGTGTCCCTCTCATCCTCGGTGAGAGCGTTTCGGCGGAAAGGTTCTTGATGAGCTGGAGTTGGACTAGAGGGCGGAAGGAAGCTTGACACGTGGATCTCGCGGAGAAGCACTCTACCGGCGCGGGACATGGAGGGCCACCATCTCTCTCACTCTTGCTGCTTTTGCGGTCTCATGGCCATCACACCCTTCAAGCTTCCAACCAAGTTTTGAGCTTGCCTGCCGTGAGATTTCAACCCATTTCTGACTCGGCAATCTTTCACTACCGACTGGCAAGCGGCTTGTTTCTTTCCTTTCTGAATGCACACCTCTCTAGAGTAAATAGGTTTCCTCCGAGTTGTTATTTCCCCGTCTTCACACCACCAGCTCTCGAGGCGCAATTAAACGCCGGTGACGTGGTTCGTGTTTCTTGGGATGATGTGTCCCGTCCCTGATCTTCACTTAGCCTAGCATGGGGAGGGGAGAAGCTCTCAAAATGTAGGATGGACAGTCACAAAGCAGGCAAATAACAAAGTTCACGCTTGTCTCCCCCGCTGCAATGAAACGATGCCTCTAGTCATGGATCTCAATCAACCCCTCCCCTTCCTCTCTGGGGGTGTCATTGCTCGGAATTCGCAAGCCAAAATCCAGGCCATTGTTCAATTGACCCGCACAGGATTGGATGAAC